TGTATATATATATATATATATATAATCATTTTTTTTCTGTAATAAGAGTATGACAATCATATTCGAGTTCTAAAGTTTTGCAGGAGTGTCTGATTTACATGTAATATGACGTAATTAACAAGTATAAAATCGAATGTGTGCGAAGTGCTAATTAATGTATGTTTGGTGCCCGCTGGCGCAATAACGATTGTTTAGTTATAACTGAATATCGAACTTGCGCCAACTACTTCATTACAAGTTTCTCATTCCGAATAGGGGCAAGTCTTCCTTGTTGCACTTCAAGTATGTTCCACATTTGCATAAGTTACATCGCCATGACCAGCGTGATGGTTTATAGAACATTGGACTCGACAATTGTTCGCCAGATAAATACATCTGTTGAATATCGGAAACTGTTGTCGATTGTCAGATAAAGCGAGAGAAAATTCTGTGCTTCGCGCAATCTTCTAATTAATCTCAACGCAATCATTCATCATCGTGAATGAAATGGATGAATCCTCACATTGTTTGAGTGAAAAATTATGGTTGGAAATTTTTGAAATTCTTCTCTTCATTTTACTCGCTTGAGCATAGAGCATTTTAAAATATTTGATTGAATTTAAAGCTGATCGAGAACATAAAACAATATTGTATTACAATGCTTACAAGCTGCTTATTTTATGATAAAAGATAAATAAAATTTTTCACGTTCGTTCTTGTAAAATTTTAATATTTGTTCGCCAAGTTATAATTTTCACGTTTTCGCTTTCAATTTTCTCAATGATATTTGAAAAGACGATCTCTATAATAGTCAATAATAGCATACTGTTTGAACCGAATATCTATACTGTATCTTATCTTAAGATATAAATACGCATAAAAATAATAAATTTTAAAAACCTGTAAAAACTGTTTATTAAGAAAATAAAATTAATCTTGACTTTTTTTATTAATCAATAATTTCAATAATTAAGGAAGGTACTAGAGCCCGAGCCAGTTAAAATTATTCTCAAAAATATTCTTATTATATATGATAAAAACTCCAAACGTTTCGACCTTTTTTAGATCATCTTCAATGTAATTCTCAACATTATAATTATTCTCCTACCTCTACATTTCAATTTCAAAACTCATCGCATGCATTGGTTTTAATGTTACTTACAAAAACTTTAAGAGTCGCACGCATTAAGAAGTGTATACATTTCTTTATGATTGAATCCGTATTATATCATAGCGAATTATGAGTTATTGATTTGTGCTGTTAGTCCATTCGTTTTACATTTTAAAAACCAAGGTTCGTGCGGTGATTTTTGAAATTGAAATGTTGAGGTAGGAAATTAATTATAATGTTGAGAATTACACTGAAGATGACCTAAACCATAAAGGTCGAAACGTTTGGAGTTTTTGTCATACATATAATAATAAAAAAAATTTTTAAGCAATTCTAACTGGCTCGGGCTCTAGTAGCTTGTTTAATTATTGAAATCTGTTTATTGTTGATATAAATTTATTTCTCAATTTTTATTTGTTGCTATTGTTTTTTGAAGTTAAATTGAAAGAATTCAGATCTCGTAATTACGCCTCAAAATAATTCGACTCTTTCTCCTGACTTTATTTTGGAATTTTACTTCAGAAAATTCAATAGAAATTCAAAGAAACCGAGTTACTCCAAAAGTAGGTAGATAAGCATAAAATTTATGAATATCAAATCGTCACATTAGTAAAACGAAAAAATCAGAACTCAAACTCTGCTCGAGGCGGGCGAAACTCTAACTTACAGGGTACACAGTCTTGATATAATCGATCTTCTCATTGTCAGTATTATATTTCGATTTATATTAAGGATATTAATAACAGTAGATTTATTTGAGAAAATATAAAATTACTTTTTTTAATAAGTAATGATAAATAGAAAGAAATAGTATTATATTTAATTTTTTATTTGTTCTAAACGTGTTTAAATATGAGTTTGTTACAGGCATATTTCAATGAAAAAATAATGAAGTATTAAATTATGCTTAATTAACAAACATTTGCTTTTTTATTTGTTTGTATATTATTAAATATATTCTATATTACAAGAGAAATCGTTTAATAATTTACTATGATATGTACTTTACTGTACTTAAAATTCGCTTTTTATAATGGAAATTTCTATACACGTAAAAATTATTCTTTACATTAGCAAATCAAGTTACTTATCGATATTTTATTATTTGCTTACGTATTAATTATTCCATTACTTACTTGCGTATTGATTATTAAATATTAATGCACATACAAAAAGAAAACTGAATAATTTATATATATTACAATTTTTATTAAAAATTTTTAGTACAATGTAATTCAAAAAATTTAATGTAATAAAGTATATCTCTAAATTTATCAATTTCTCTTGCAATAAAATTTAACAGTGGCTACTGATTAAAGTTTGATAAAACCGATATCGATTAAATTATTAATTACATTGTAATTTTAACCATTTGTTTTTAAGTATCAATTAAAATTTCCAGAATTTTAATATAATCCGCATTGTAAAGTATCAAACATTAATTTCTTATATTTTACAATACCATCTGACTTATCTATAATATATCTCATTGTTTGAATAATATATTTATTGAGATTTATGATACTTAGTACAGATTTTTAATTTGACATAAGCAGTCGCTTGATGTCATCCATTTTCAATAACACATTATTAAAAAAATTTCGATATTTTTGCAAACAAAATTGCTAAACTATTGATTATTTAACAATTAATTTATATGTTGTGTATCAATGTGTATTTTGACACATTTTTCGGACTCTCTCTCCCTCTCTCTCTCTCTCTCTTCTCTCTCTCTCTCTCTCTCTCTCTCTCTCTCTCTCTCTCTCTCTCTCTCTCCCTCTTCCTCTCCCTCTCCCCCCTTTTTTATCCCCTCTTCCCCTTCTCCTCACCCCTCTCTCTGAGACATTGCACTTATAGTACATATGTATATTGACAGTGTGTGTATCAGCTAGTGTGTATTGACTATGTAAGAATCGATACAACAATAAACAACTGTTGAATTTGTAGTGAAAATTA